GTTTACTTCCCAACGTGTACTCCTGGCTATTTCATGTTTGCCAACCAAGGGACAAGTTGAGTTTATGGAAAACGCACTGAGGGAGATGGTTTCAAAGGGATTCACAATAAATTCTGCCACTGGAAATGCATTTATTAAATATTACAGCATTTTTGGTTCATTGACAGACATGGAGCTCACATATGGCCGCCTCAAAAGGTCTAGACATCTCATAGGCAAAGATGGAATTAGGGCAATGTCGCGTGCGTACATTAAAGAAAAAAAGTTCTATAGATTGGGCGAATTTTTAAGGGATGTAGGTCTTGGAAGGAAAAATGTGGGAAATCTTTTATGGAATCTTCTACTGTTATCTTATGCAGCCAATTTTAAAATGAAAAGCTTGCAAAGAGAATTTCTGAAAATGTTGGATGCTGGTTTTCATCCTGATATTACTACCTTTAATATACGTTCTCTGGCGTTCTCAAGAATGTCCTTGTTTTGGGATCTACATGTTAGCCTTGAACATATGAGACACGAGAATGTTGTTCCTGACCTGGTAACTTTCGGTTGTATCGTTGATGCATACTTGGATCGAAGAATGGGAAGAAACTTGGAATTTGCTTTGCATAAGATGAATTTCGATGATTCTCCTTCAACATTTACTGATATATTAGTTTTTGAGGCTTTAGGGAAAGGGGATTTTCACTTAAGTTCGGAGGCATTTTTGGAGTTCAAGAGGGTGAGGAATTGGACTTATGGGAAACTAGTTGCAATTTATGTTAAAAAGCGATTCAGAAGGGACCAAATCTTTTGGAATTACTGACTAGTGCTTGATACATGTGCTCAGAAATATTTGACCAATTGTTTGAATTGAGCCGCTCTTGTAAAGGTCTTATAATTTTGTACAAACTGCAAAATCTATTGATTACTATATTTAGTTATTATATTAGTTACTAATCTTAATAATAATATGATTGTTTGTGCTTAAATTTCACAAAATATGATCACTACTGCTACTAGACTTGTCTCCTTATCCAATTATATGGAACACACAATAAGATAAAAATTTTATCTGTAGGCTTAGTCTAGCCTATTCAGCGAGTACCTTACCCTATCATACCCGAGGCACCAAAGAGATAGGTCAGAAGTGTTTGTCTTATGTTGAAACTGATGGAACTATTTGGTC